TTTTTTTTTAATAAAGACCAAACATGCTGGAGGCTCTTAAAGGGAATATCGTTACTTTAAAAACAAAAACCTATGAACCATTTAGATCATTTACTCATTGTATTTTATGCATGCCTTCCTTCTCCTCAGGTTTTTAACAGAATAAAAGGATTTCTAAATAGGGAAGAGGTACAGCTAAAGGGGAAGACATACTTCTTCCCACTGATGGGGTATTTTATACTGTGGTCCTAGCACGCTATGAATTAATAGTATTATGGCTAGCATAATAATAATATTGGCAATGCAAAAAAATGCATCCAGTTTCCTGTTTGGATAAATGGAGAGACATTTGTCAGCATCTGAGATCCTCACGCAGCTGAAAGGTATCTGTCTTTCTCTTAACAGCTTCCATCTCCATTTTATGGTATGTTTTAAACTTCGAAAAATTCTAACAATTACAGCACGTGAACTCCTCTACATCTGGCAGAAAACTGGGAACAGCCGAGTACGGAGAAGACCTGGTACACTTAAAAGCATAATTATTTGCCTTCTAATCCTGCAGAGTTTGAGAGGTCCTTAGCGCTCTGAGCTTGGTTGTTTTGTTGCAGACGTTTCATTTCCAAACTAGGTAACATCATCAGTGCTAGAGGAGGAGGAGGAGGAGGAGGAGGAGGAGGAGGAGGAGGAGGAGGCAAAGGACTGTGGGGTCCTTGGTGCTCTCTGAGCTTGGTTGTTTTGTCGCAGACGTTTCATTACCAAACTAGGTAACATCATCAGTGCTGGTGCTCCAGCACTGATGATGTTAATTAGTTTGGGTAACGAAACGTTTGCAAGAAAACAACCAAGTTTGGCAGGACTTTGGCAGGTATCTTGGTGCCCCCCCCCCGGAGATTACTATGGATCCCTTCCTTAAAGAGTCTAAAAACCGTTTCGTTAGTGTCTAAGAACTTTCCATTATAATGGTATAATGTCCTGAGTCATATTTCCATTTCAGAAAAAAAAAATGGATCAGCAATGAATTATCTTAAGTGGTTAGAAACTGACATATCAGAAAGCAGAAATCCAGTTTGTTTCTGTTCCTCTATCTTTTTTAATCGGAAAATTAATGTCACACGTTTTTATATCATGTTACGGTTTCACAGATATCTTGCAATGAAGAATTCTGCAATTTCCACTAGAATCCCTTCAGAACTTTCTCCAAATGAATTTCACTTCTCCAGAATGTATTCCTTATTTTTTCCATAGAATATATAAAGTAAAAATAAAGCTGATCTTGAGAAATATATGAACTTTATAGGACAACGTTTTTGAAATGTCAAAATAAAATGAGGGGATGGAATCAGATTAAGTTTATAGACCAGCCCTCACACAATTACAGTTCCCAAAAGCCAATAAGTCTCTTACCACAAATGTCCTGTAGCCTCTTAAGGCTGTGCACTTTTAGAATTAAGCCAGGGTCAAAAATAGTTCCTAAGTCTCTTTTTTTACCATTACTGTTACTACTACTCTAGAATTCCTACTGCAATACTACTAGAACTGACGAGAAATTTCCTGACAGTCAAACAATTAATTAGTGAAACGACTTGCCTCCAAAAGTTGTGAGTGCTCCAACACTGGAGGTTTTTAAGAAGAGACTGGACAGCCATTTGTCTGAAATGGTATAGGCTTTCCTGCCTGAGCGGGGGGGTTGGACTAGAAGACCTCCAAGGTCCCTTCCAACTTTGTTATTCTGTTGGTCTGATGTTTTATCAATAGCTAAAAATCACTGATACACAGGGGGGGAAATGCAACATAAACCCTAAAATAGGCTTAGTAATGCCTAGGTTTCTGTCAAGAAGTTTTCAGATTTTTTTTCTATATATACATGATAAGGCGTCATTGTATATGGGCTGTTGCCCTGCTGACGGGTATACTTGTCACCTTCCAGAAACTTTTGGAGTGTGAATCTCGGCCATCAAAGCTTGTCCACTCTAGTATTAACCAAAGACCGTCCCACAGCTGCTTTCTTTCATCCTCCATGTTGCATCAGAGACATTTTCTCTTGCAAAGCGGGGCGGAGATTTGTAAGTTTGGCGTGCTAAATTCACTGCTGTTTCCACTGCTAGCGTTCTGCAAGCCCAGGCGAGCCAGAGAGTGCAAGAGCGTTGGTTGGTGTCCCTGAGACAGCGGGTGGTGGGTCTCACCCATGTTGCTCGTCAGGCCGTTCGACATCAGGAAGTGGGTGATGGAATTGCAGTGAGTCAACTTCTCTTCCCAAAACTGTTTATAGAGTTCCTGGATTTCGTGATCCATGTGTTTGTTCAGCAAGGAGTTAGTAAGGCGCTCCTTGTGGGGAACCATGCTGCTCTCCCCAACGTCGTCCCCGTGCCCCAACTTTAGCACCCTGGGTTTCTGTAACGGAAAGGGAGCGTCTAAGGGGATATCGGTGGACATGAGCACGGGCCCAGGCAATTTGTTGTGAGTCTGGCCCACGGTGCGATCTGAATCACGTGTATGGTCAGCGATGTGATCTCCTCCGATATGCAGATCAGGATAATTCTGATAAAGGCTTTGGTTTGACCAAGATCTGTACAGATCCAGTTCTTTTCCACAGTATTCCTCTAGAATTGGTATACGCTGAGGGGCGAATAGAGGTGTTTTGTGGTTTTTGTTTCTGGGTACATCTTGACCAGGGATCTGTTGATGACCTTTTAGATCCATGTTACCGCCATGAACCTCCGCCATCTTCTCCGCTGCTGCTTGATCGGATTCCATAAAGAACTGTTCATGATCATCCATATTTGCAAACTGGCTTTGCCACGTTTCCTGCCCAACAGGTTTCAGCACCTGGCCTTGACGAGAGTCAAAAGGGTCACCTTTATAGGCAAAGATGGATATGAAGCTTTCTGCCAGCATGGTTGGTCAGAATACGAATCTTTGAAAAGACTACGCGGAGCAAATGCCTTTTAAAAAAAAATATACATGGAGAAGTTATTTAGAGAAGGAAAGAGAAAACACATTCTGGTGTTTAATTCATTGAGACTTGCTCCTTGGTTAATATAACAGCAACATATCCTCGGCCTTCTTCAAACTGAGATCTTCCTGGTTTATTGGATTCCAGAATTCCCACATCAATATGTAGGAATTTTGGTATTTATAATCTAAAACCTCTAGAATTGCTCTGAGGGGCAGCATATACATTTAACAAATTATATTATTAACTCTCACGGCTAATTTATTGTGATTCTCATTTCTCAAAAAGAGAAAGCTTAACAGGAAATTGTGCTTGAGCATATGAGCCTCACCCAAATCATGTCCTGTGTCCATAACAGTGGTAAACCTAAGTGTTTCTCAACCCTGGTCAAAAGTTTCTCAACTTGGTGCCCTGTTCTGATATCAGATTTGAAGGACCCCTAGTTGTGCAAAGTCCTGCAAGTTAAACAACCGCAATGAAATATTTTTCCATGCCCAATTTTATACACAGCCTACTCTTCCGATCCTAGGTGGCTTAAAATAAAATTAAAAGAAAAAACTCTTAATTAAAATATAAAAACATCTATAACATTAATAAGTATTTTTTTCTAAAACTATTAGAATCTATAAATGAACATTTAGCTGCCATAAAAACAAGTTGGAAGGGTCTCTTGAAGAGGATTATTTTTGGTCAGCTTCTAAAACATCATCAGGATGGGGCCAGACTAAACTTGGAGGGGACAATACTGTAGTCCAGAGGGAGGGGACCACTAATATGAAAATTTCCCCGTTTTGATTCAAGATGAGTATTGAATATCCTCTATTACACTGTGTAGGTTGGGCAGATTCTATATAATCTGCCCTGAATTTACCCTGGTCCAAGCGATAAAGCCATCTACTGTAGGTCATCGCTAAAATATTACAGGAAATTCTACAGTATTGTCTGATGGCAAAAAAATCTCTCAGGATAAAAGAACAGGTAAACAGGAGGAGGCAGGGTGCAGAGGTAGATTTTGTACAATATTAAAATAATATAATCCAACAAGGCCTGACAGTAGGAATATGAATGGCTTAGGAGGAGTATGATTTTCAGATAAGCTTAGATTTATGTTTGTCACCGACCCTTTTTTGCATCCATGTGATACTGCCGGTATATATTACATTGCAAATAATATTTTTTTAAAAGATTGTAAAATGTTACATTCCAAAATGTCACTGATACTTGCAAATCTTACCACAAACTACATTAAGCAATTGGATCTCAAAATGTCATAGTTTTGAGCCATCCCAAGGTGGCCCCTTCAGTAAAACATATTCCCAGTTACACTTTTGTTTATTTGTATTTATTTATTAAATGTATATGCTGCCCTACTCACTAGTGAGCAATTCTGAGAAGCTTGCAACAAAGGCCCTGGACTGAAGCCTTAATATATTTAAAAGTATATATATATATAAAGTTAATCTTTCAGTGTTTGCAAAGAACATACCTTTGCTGGTTACATGCTGGGTGGGATCAGATAGGAAAACAGCCATGAAACAGAGACAACGATGGTTCTTTTCTGAACTTTTTTCAAAGATTGCCCAGATGTGGTACTCTCAACAAGCCATGGTTTAATCTCTGGGATTCTGCAATGTTCATGCATTTATCACCAAGCCACTTCCAGTGAGGGGAAAAAGAAACCCTCTGTGGTCACCCCTCCTGCAATAGTCAATCCAAATAAGGATCTGACTTTTAAAATCTATATTGTGTAACGAGGCAGATAGCGCTGTTCTCTCGTGACTGGTAGGTTTCGCAGAAGTGCTTTGGAAAGAGGAAGAACGACTTAATTAGGAAAGTGAAAACGTAAATTGTTCCCGGGCAGAGGTCTTTTCTACAGGACGCACAGAAGAGGCTGAATCTTGGAATTATTATAATGCGTGGTGGAGGATGGAGAAGGAAAATATAGACCGTCAGGATGAATTTCCACATTTCTTGCAGATCTTTCGCTTGGCCCATTCTAGTCCTCACCTGAATTATTCTCACGACAGAGTTAGCAGAATAATAGAGTTGGCAGGGACTTAGGAGGTCAATCAATCAGAATAGAGTCAAACTCTCTGCTCAGGCAGGAGAACCTATACCAGTGATGGCGAACCTTTTAGACACCGAGTGCCCAAAAACTGCCCCACCCCTGCACCGTCCCACCCCTGCTCCATCCCTGCCCCGCCCCCACCCACCCACAGGGCTACCCGCCACCTCCACGGCCCGCCACAGACCGCCCAGGCAGCCCAGTAGCACCATGGTGGCCATGCCCTCCACCCATGCCCCGCAGCATCATCTGCGATGGGGCGCAAGGGCAGAGTCTTGTCCCTGCTGCCCGGCTATGTCCTTGGCTGCACTGCTCCACATGGGCCGCACCCGGGGGTGACTCTCCTCCAGGGGGGCTGCTGGTGAGGAGGGGGCCACCAGGGAAGGTGGGGCTGGGATGACAGCACGTGTGCTCACAGAGAGGGCTCCGAGTGCCGCCTCTGGCACACATGCCATAGTTTCGCCACCACTGCCCTATACCATTTCAGACAAATGGCTGCCCAATCTCTTCTTTAAAACCTCCAGTGATGAAGCACCCACAACTTCTGGAGGCAACGTTCCTTTGAAACAGGCAAGATTTCAACTCAGCAGTAAGATTCAATGAAAGAATGACTTAAACTTGACCTGGAGAGTTGTTATGGAGCCCAAAATCTTGTCGTGAAGGATTAAACAAGAGCACATTAGTTAGAGTAGACGCTCTCTGAATCAAGCTCGACTCTTGCATACGTTCATATGGAATACAGAGTTGGAAGGGACCTTGGAGGTCTTCTAGTCCAGCCTCCTACCCACGCAGGAGACCCTACAGCATTCCAGACGAGTGGCTGTCCAATCTCTTCTTAAAAACCTGCAGTGATGGGGCACCCACAACTGCTGGAGGCAGAAGGATCTTTGTCTTTGACAAATGCAAAGACACATCTGGACTCCCCGCCCCTGAATCCCACATCCTCTGCACCCCCCTGCATTGCCCAGAACTCCCAGCCAGTCTCGGTGCTGTACTCCAGCTCCTATCATTCCCTTCTGGCTGGCCGGGTTGTGCAAGTACCGCAACACAACCCCTCTTAAAGGTCGACAAAGAAGGGGAAAAATTAAGTCTCATTTCCGGCTGATGGTCTTTCCAGGCGCGTTGCCCAATCGCCGCAGTTCCCCGCCGGCCCGCAAGGGGCGCAGAAGAGCAATAACCAAGGGAAAAGAGAGGTCCGGCGGGGCGGGGAGGAGGGCTGTTCTTTGAGTGGCAGCGCGAGTGACCATTCTGAACGCGCGAGCCTTGCTGGGGGTTGTGTTCCCATAGCAACGGCGGGCCCCGCGGGACCATGGCCGCCATTCGGGTGTATTACACCAGCGTGACGGGTTCCAGGGAGGTGAGGGGCGGCGTGGGGGGCTGCCGCGCCCGAGAGACCCTGACCAGCCGAGCTGCTCGTGAGGGCGAGCCGCCCCGAGCCCTTCTGCAACCCGTCGCCCTCCGGGGGTGCGGATACTGCAGAGCTCATCATCCCCAGCGCCTTTCTTGTGCTTGGGATTGCAGGTCCCCTCTCCCTCCAGAGACGTGGGGACCACAAATCCAGTCGTCCCCAGCGCCCTGCACCTGCCTTGGAACCGCAAGCCCCGCCCGGTGCCCGTCGGATCACATCTCCCATTATGCCCAGCCAACCTAACGCTGCCTGGGGGCTCTCAGGACTACAAGCCCCTCCCGAGATGCTGGGATCCCAACTCCCATCGCGCTCTCTTGTGTTGCAGCCACAACCGCCACCTCTTCTCCAGACTCTGGAATCACACGTCCCATCACTCCCTGCCAACCAAGCATCCCTTGTGTGTCTTGGAACTACAAACTCCAGGACCCTTCCAGAGACTCTTGGATCACAGCTCCCATCACTCCCAGCCACCCTAGCATCCCTTGTGTGTCTCAGTTCAAGTTCCAGGACCCTTCCAGAGACTCTTGGATCGCAGCTCCCATCGCTCCCAGCCGCCCTAGCATCCTTTGTGTGTCTCAGTACAAGCTCCAGGACCCTTCCAGAGACTCTTGGATCACAGCTTCCATCGCTCCCAGCCACCCTAGCATCCCTTGTGTATCTTGGAAATACCTGCCACAATGCTCTTCCATAGACTCTGGGATCCCAACTCCCATCTCCCCCAGCCAACCCAGCACCCTCATTGGGTGTTGAAGTACAACCCCTAAACCCCCTCCAGAGACCACAGCTGCCATCAGCTCTGGCCCTAGGCTGGGAAAGGCTCATCCAGGCCATCGTCTGATGCGGGGGTCTTCAAACTTGGCAACTTTAAGACTTGTGGACTTCAGCTCCCAGAATTCCTCAGTCAGCCCTGGCTGGCTGAGGAATTCTGGGAGTTGATGTCCACAATCTTAAAGTTGCCAAGTTTGAAGACCACTGCTGTGATGAGATGGAGGCATCCTGAGTAGGGGGTGAGAGTCGGGGAACGTGATCCCCCAGGCAGGCTGTTTTGAGCTCAAAATATCAATGAAAGGCTTGCAATGAGATCAAGATTGAGTAAGTGTAAGGCCCAAACCTGAGTCTGCAGGGGTGCCTGGAGAACGGGCTCCAGGTCCTTCCCTCTGGGCTTTTTTTTCTGAAGCTTTGCAATAGTGGCAAATATCTGTAGCTCGGATGTAGGACAGAGTGAAGGTTTATTCATGAAGAACGCTAAACCCCGCTAAAGATGTTACCTAGCCTGGTGGCGAAACGTTCAGAAACTGACCACAGAACCTTCACCGTATTCTTTGGAGCTGCTGAGAATGGGGATGAGGCAGATCTACTTCATCCACGATGGTTTGCCATGCCTGACTTCCTTCTCAAGCCTTGATTGACAGAGAGCAAACCCCACTCTCTCCTAGCACTGATGATGTTACCTAGTTGGGTAGTGAAAGGTCTGCAAGAAAACAACCAAGTTCAGAGATCACCAAGGTCCCCACAATTCGATTTGGAGATTACAAATATGCTCTTCTGAAATGTTAATCCTCATTGGAACCTTCTCCTTTGCAAACCCACTGAAATGGGGCAGGCAGCATCAATGCTAGAAGAGACTGTATATAAGAGAGCAAACCCCAGTCCCTCCTAGCACTGATGATGTTACCTAGTTGGATATTGAAATGTTTTTTAAGGAAACAACTGAACTTGTTCAAATCTGAGCCACAAATATTCTCTTCTGTTGGAACTTGGATTGACAATTCAAGAGTGCCTGTGTATCTATATATCTGGCGCATTTCATCTGCCGCCTCAGTTCTTAAGGACGTCTAGGCAGTTTACAAGATTTAAACAAGTGCAAGTTGTGCTATGTTTTTAATATAAAAATACATCTTATTCTATAATTGTACACCATCTTCCATCTGCTAGAAGCAAAACTAATTCCTAATACAGGCATTCAGTTCAAGGCACATTTTTTTTTAACATTCAAAAACTGCTGCTCTTAAAAATGGAAACACACAAAATAGGGCTCAAAATAAATTGGTTTCAGAAAAATCCGTAGAAATAGTACTACAAGAAAGCTGTGCCAAGACTAAAATATCAAAATCTGCAGCTGGCAGTAGTAGTAGTAGTATACAGGGATGGGCAGACTTTTTAAAAGACATTTCTGCACAAGTTAAAAAAAAAAAAACTAATTACTTGTCTGGATTCTTTCTTGTTCCTGTAGAATAAGGATCCATAAGAAATTTGTAAGTTCAAATTTACTTAAGGAAACATGCTGGGAATTGTAACCTATATGTGGCTTTGTTAATAGATGCACCCTTGTTCTCCACCCTGCTATCAAACTTTTAATTTAAAAACAAATCCATTGTGAGGGGTCCTTGGTGCTCTCTGAGCTTGTTTTCTTGCAGATGTTTCATTACCCTAAATAGGTAACATCATCCAAATCCATTGTGATTTAAACAGTGACTTTACCTTGGCAGAGGGCAGGAAAGAAGGAAATGCAAAATTACTAAAATAATAGCAATGGAGAATTTGGGTGGAGGGAGGGAACCTGTATTTAAGGACTTTTTTGCTCAAAAGTGGGCATAAACCCTGAGGAAGCTGCATCTTTAGCCCCAGGCTAAAGTCACCCATTTTTGAACTAAATCTCTTTAATATAAAGTTAGCTTCCAGCACTTCTAACTAAAACCTGCAGTCCTAAGCAGAGAACTAGGGCAATCCCAGGATAACCCCTGGATTTGAAGTGGAAGAGATGCTCTCCCATCTGTGACGCCCCAAAATCTCTACCATCTCTCTTCACCAAATCTGTCGGTATCTTATCTAGGTGAAGCAGAGGCAGTCTGAGGTTCTTCGTATCCTGGATGGAAACCGCATGAAGTACCAGCTGGTGGATGTCTCCCTCAGTGAATGTTTGCTGCAAGAGATGAGGGACAAAGTTGGCAGAGCTGATGCAGTCCCACCCCAGATTTTTAATGGAGACGAGTATTGCGGGGTAAGAAAAACCAGACTGGGGGGAGGCAAACCAAATTATGGATTCGGTTATAATGGCTGGAAAACAAGTTGGACGGCATCGACTGAAGGTGAATAAAAGCACTTCTTCTTCTTCTTGTGCCATATCCGTTATCGGACGTTGGCGATCATGTTGGCGATCCTGTTTTTATCAGCAGCCGCACGAAAAAGTGCTGCTGAGTTTTGTCCAAACCAGTCCCTTAGATTTTGAAGCCACGATGTTCTTCTTCTGCCTGGACCTCATTTGCCTTCAATCTTTCACGATTAAATGGAGTATGCCATATTTTTCTGGGTGTCGCATCACATGTCTGAAATATTCTAATTTTCGTTTTTTAATTGTTTTGATGATTTCCCTTGGCTTTCCCAGGCGGCTTATCACCTCCTCATTTCTGATCTTGTCAACCCAGCTTATACGTCACAGCCTCCTGTAAATCCACATTTCAAATGCTTCTAGTCTCTTCAGGTGGCCTTCTGTCACAGACCAACTCTCTAATAAAAGCACTGTAACTCAAAATGTATTTTGGGTGTGAATATGTCTTACCCTTCTCTTCCCCCCCCCCCCCCGCAAAAAGGAAAATTCTGGAATTTATTCACTTCCTTCCATTCTTGCTTTTTTTTCTCCCCTCGTTGGCACCATCTCCAGCTTGTTTCTTCAAACATCAGGATCATCCCCAGCACAGGTTACATATTGACTATCCTATTATTTTCAAATGGGAAAAGGGGGGCGGGCGGAAAGGATTGGGGTGGGAGCGGAAGGATAGGGAAAGTACAGTGTGTGAACTACATTACATTAACGAGCTGTTATTTAGTAATCCAACGTGCACAAAAGAAGCAATGTTCCCATTTTTAGGGCTGACCTACCAATCAGTTTTGCAGGAAGGGTAAGCTATCCCAACAGAAAGGATAGCTGTTGTTGGTTTTTGATTGGAAAATATTTTTGTTTGTCGTATGTAGTGGAAATCATCTTTTTACCATCTTAGGAAAAAAGGAAAAGTTTGTTCCACTCTAGAGCTTTGTTTTCTGCTTTCTCCTTCCAACAATCCAAATCAGCAAATAAAGGTTGATAAGAGTTCTCGGACTATGGTAAACTATAATATAGTTTCGTTCAGTTTAGCATGTTCTGTGAGTCTTCTTGTTAACAAATCATGGTTTAATGTGATGTGTGTAGTCAGTGAGTGATTGGCATAATCCGGTAATCTTAGGAATGGAAGGGCTATTTGAATCCAGGAGAATCAGACTTAGGTTCAGCAGTAACAGCATTCTGAAGAAAAGTGACGTCCAGCTGAATGTGGATTTCACTCCTTCTGATTAACATCTCCCTTTTGCATTTGTTTTAGGACTTTGAGATGCTGTATGAAGCAACTGAAAATGAAGAAGTTAAGAAATTCCTTAAGGTAGCAGCTGTGGATAGAGTGGCAAAAAACGTGGCAACGATTTGAAGAGGTTGCTTTACATAGGTGTTCAATGCTTAAAAGCATTTTTTTTTAAAAAAAAAACACGTTTAAATAAAACAGGAATTTTGTATGTCAGAGAAATTCAGCTCCCTATGAAAGACATGGGACTTGCAAAAAATAGTGTCCGCTCTATCAGCTTTTTGTACAAGGTTTACTATGAGGACAGGGCAGTAACACCTTCCTCTGATAGCAGAACACGAAAAGTGAGCCACCACTTTGTAGTAGGTGGGTGGACACACAATTAAACACTTACTTGAAATCTCTCCTACCAGATAGAAAGATTTTGACTCATTTAGAACGCCAGTGTGTGAAAGACCAAATGAAATCTTAACTAGCTTTTGAAGTTGTGGCTTTGGATACGATATTATCTGGATGAATACAATAATAAAGTGAAGTTACTCAGAGTTGTTCTGTCTCCTTTAAGCACATCATTCAGATATCCTGCAAATGCATGTGTTGCCTTTAGGTTGAATCAATCCTTGAATTGATTTGGAAGCAGGGTTTTATTCCCCAAAAGGTTTTTGTAAAAGCTTTTCTGTACTGTAAAACCCCAAAACATACCGATAAATTCCCTTTAGTTTTCAATGGTCCCCTTTTCTGTTGGCTTTTATAACCTCAGTTACCTACGGGAAGTTATTGAAGATAAAGAAAATGTTCAAAGTATAAAGAGGATTCCCAGGCATTAAAAAGCTGCTGATCGCCCCACCTGAAGCGAAAGTAGCAATTAAAAATAACAATGATTATTTTAAGTGTAAAAGTAGAAAAAATTTATTATGAAGTCGCACAGTGTTATAACAGAGAACAGCCAGGTGAACAGAAGATGTGCAGCTTTTGTTACAGATTTCGGCAATAGGAAGCTGGTACAATGTCCTCATGGCCAACGATTAAGCCCAAAGTAACAGACAAAATGAAAAAGAAAATCTATTAAAAAATGTGTGATTCGTATTAAATCCTTAAAAAAAAAAAGATTTCTGATTGAACTTTCCTAATTCAGAGCCCGCAGCGATCATGAAATAGGGAAAAGAAGGGTTTTGAGACGTTAATTGTGAACCGCTACCAGTTAGGAAAAGGAACGGGACTGCCAGCCAGAGAGACTCAAGTGCATATGGTATTATGAGAGAAAAGCTGAAGTCGTGAAAGAATGCCAATAGGCCAGAAGGTGAGTAATCAAAGGCCTGAAGAAGAACTAGGAGAAGCCAGCAACAGCAGGCCACTAGCGCCATTCACAAGAGTTGCAAGATGCCTTAAGGAGCAAGGAGCCCTGGTGGCGCAGTGGTTAGAATGCAGGATTGCAGGCTAACACTGCCCACAACCTGGAGTTCGATCCTGGTGGGGCTCAAGGTTGACTCAGCCTTCCATCCTTGGTAAAACGAGGATGACCCAGATTGTTGGGGGCCATAGGCTGACTCTGTAAACCGCTCAGAGAGTGCTATGGGACGGTAGATAAGCCTAATGTTATTGCTAACTACCACAACGCCACAACTAGCAGGCTGAGCAATGACACTAGTTCAGGATAGCAGACAAAACAAAAGGACAACTGGGAATGACAATCAAGCCGAAACCACAAGGCTCACCGAGTAGATCTGTTTAAGTCTACAGGGGTAGTCAACCTTGGCTCTTTTATGACTCGTGGACTTCAACTCCCAGAATTCCTGAGCCAGCTGTGCTGGCTCAGGAATTTTGGGAGTTGAAGTCCACGAGTCATAAAAGAGCCAAGGTTGACTACCCCTGGTTTAAGAGAAAATGGCCATAGGTTGTAGAGCACGCGGATGGGCAACTCTGGCAACTTTATGACCTGTGGACTTCAACTCCCAAAATTCCTAGGAGTTGGGAGTCCACAGGTTGGAAAGTTGCCAGAGTTGCCCACCCCTGTTGCAGAGTATAAAAAATGCAGAAGAACAGATGTATCACGGAGGACATCCTACAAAGGTGGGCTTAACAGGGTAAGTATAATAACAAGAGACTGCTTATAAAAAAAAATAGAATATAACAAATTTGAGTTACAATATATTCATTTAATGCAAAATTAATGAGATTTGAGCATAGGGTTGCTCCAACAGGAATAGGAAATAAAACATTAAGACTATAGGAGATAAGATGGAATAGGTTGTCTAACATAGGCTTTCCAATAGCAATGAATTAAGAACACAAGGTATATTTAGATCAATATATTTGAGTGAAAAACTTTAATTTGGGGAACCGTTTTTGGGCACTGGGTACAAGATTACAGGATACACTGTCTGAATTTCTTACCCTCAAATACCATCTCAAACCTGCAGGCTATTCTCTATCCAACCTGAGCCCAGAACCAGGAACAACTAAGAATGATCATTGGTGCAAAAGCAGATGTTTTAACACCCAGAATTCGACATCATGGCTGGCTGGGGAATTCTGGGAGTTGAAGTCAAGGTTGAGAAATGCTAATGTAGAATGTCTGGTTTTACAAGTTCTGGATTCCAAGAGAAAAGAGGACCATCTCTGCACAACTCAACTCTTAGCATTCCCCAGCCAGCCATGATGTGGAATTCTGGGAGTTAAAACATCTGCCCATCTTAAAGTTGCCAAGGTTGAGAAACATTGCTCTACACACTGCAGATTTCCAAAGAAAAACACCGTACTAAACAGTTTCCAGAAAACAACACAGGTCAAGCCGTCACACAAAAGAGAAGCGGTGACGGTACTTTGACTCTCAAAGGCCATGAAAGCCAACACAGATAAAATCATGTAGACATTACAAAGTTAGCCAAGTCCTACAGAACTTGGATTCTGGAAGGAACCCTGTTAACTGGTAGGAATCTTGGGTTAAAAAAAAAACTCATGTTGGTTTGTGTATTTATCTGCATGGATTATTTTAAGCGGGTAAGGGAATATTTGGATGGAGTCGTCTACATTAACTTTGGTCCTCCACATGGGCCGAGAGGACCACGTCCATGAGATAAAAAGGCAACATACATCTGTCTATCTGTGGGCTTCCTGTGGTTACCTGAGCTTGATTATCTGATTGCATATGATTTGTTACCTGACTAAATAACATCATCAATGCTCCTTTTTTATATAGCTTGCCCTGCCAATGTGGCTGGGGGTGTGGTTTTCCCTTTGGTACTTCCTTGATTAGGATAATATTTTCTGCTGGATTGTTTCTCTGGTGTGAATCCCTGCTTATCTAATTCTTGGCTGTTGAAGGGGAAGTATTAATCAAAGAATTGCCAAGACTGGCAGGGCAAGTTGCTCTATCTAAACCAGGGGTAGTCAACCTTGGCTCTTTTATGACTCGTGGACTTCAACTCCCAGAATTCCTGAGCCAGCTAAGCTAAGCTGGCTCAGGAATTCTGGGAATTGAAGTCCACGAGTCATAAAAGAGCCAAGGTTGACTACCCCTGATCTAAACAGAAAGCAAACCCCCAGACTCATTCTCACTGATGATGTTACCTAGTTGGGTAAGGAAACATCTGCAAACAGCCAACCAAGGACCCCACAATTCAACCCTGAGCTATATATAGTCCCTTCTATTGGATATATCTATCTTGATATAATTTGATTAAGGCTTTGAGATTCAGTTGCATTTCTACACCTTTCCAAATCCATAGGAGGGAGACACACATATTTTTCAGTATTATTTGTAACGACTATGTTTCTTGGGGTGGGGTTCTTGCCTGAAACTTTGATCATTTTGCTGCACGTAAGTGAAAATATTAGGATTTTGACAAACTGCTAAAGGTAACTTCACAGCATTGCAAAACCAGACTGGAAAAAAACCAGCTGAACTTCCTGTATCATAGAGACCTACAAGCTTCATTCCTGGAAATGACTTTTATTCAGTTTTATTTCATATTGGACCCTTGACTTTGATATATTTCATCTTACACAGAAACATGTTACAAACTTAAATGTGTCAAACTAAGTTTTATTCTAATTCGTCATTACTTGAACTCGTTTTTTAATTTAAAAAAAAAAAGTATTTTGGCCCCATTTGCTTCACATTTTAGAGAAAAAAAAAACTTATTTTGCTGTTTTCATAAATCCGGAGGGTTAGAAATGCACATTTTACTAAGACTGCCAAAAAAAAAAAAAATCTTACCTTTCCCTAAGACAGTTATTGTGTTCTGATGAACCCTGATAAATCCTGCCCTTATTCCATCAATGAGACTCCAATGGCATCAATCTACGCTACGAGATAACAAAAGAACAAGTCTACAAATATCCTAATCACAGCAAGCAATTGCAACTACAATGCTATGCTTCCTTGCAACTTTTAGAAATAATAACCATTAAAAGAAAAGTCAACTTCAGGACATCTTATTTTTCATTTCTGTTTTTGAAGCAGCAGAGGCACTGGGGTTTATTAATAAACATTTTTGCAGCTAGATTTTCTCTGCATCTGCAAGTATAATTATAGTTCTGTGTCGCGGAGAGCAAAAATACAAGGCTTTTGTTAAGTTTACCACAAAAAAAAAGGGTGGGTGGGTGGCGGTGAGGACTTTTGTGCAATTGCCAGAGAATAAATCATATCCATTGCAAGAGTCAAAATTCAATCAAGGGTTTCTAGAAGCTCCATTTGATTTCTTTCTCTCTCGATTGTGGCACATTTGTTATTTATTATTATCATCCATAATGATAATACTATTTGGTGTGGCTTCCTGTTAAACCTATGTGGCAGAATATTGTAGAGAGCAGCCAGTAATTTTGGGGAAAACAACAAAACCTTTCGGTTTTTTTCCTCCAAGTGCCTTGGTTTTTTGCTATTGTAAAGGGGAAACGCTGCAGAATTTTTCTCTTTGCAGAAATTTTAAGGCTTGAGGTTGGGAGGAAGGAAGGAAGGAAGGCTTCACACCTCTTGTTTTGCTAGTGCTTCTGCTTCCTGGAAAAACAATGAGCGAAATGTTAGCTGGAGGGGTATTTTTTAATAAATAAAATAAAAGACATACCCACAATTTGGTCACATGTATTAGTTTCAATAGCTGCTGGAGCAGGACAAGACCAAGTGAACAGTGTGGACTTTGACAAACTATAAACTGGCAACATCCCAAACAAATTCTTCCTGTTTACAATGCAATCCACATTGTTATTTTGGTCATAGATCAGCTTAAAAGAGGAGGAAGGAAAATTACATCCGTTTCAGCAATACCACTGAAGCTTTTAAGAGGAAAAGAAAGATAATAAAAAGCTAGGATGCTTAACGTAATATTATATATTGGAACAGTAAACTATTTCTCTATTAAAAATTATTAATTGCTCAATTTTGGAAAACGGAACGTTTACCCACTGTAGAAGAATGGACATTTAAAGTCTCAAACTTTGCAGAAATGGCCAAGATTTCCGCTTATGTGAAGGATTATTCACAAGAAAGATACATATTGGTTTGGAGAAGATGGATTGATTATATTGAGTTTAAATATGGAACTAAAAAATATCATTTGGTTTTTGAATGAATTTTAGAGTATTTTTTTTTGTTTAAATGTGATAATAGTTTATTTAGTTTTATTTTTAATATCAAAATTATGTTAATATTATGATATTTAATAATTGTATTTTTGTCTTAAAAGAGAGTTAAAGGAAGTTATAGATTTGTTAGCTTAATAGTTGATTAATGTGAAATAGATTATGATGATTTTATTGTTAATCCTGTGATGGGCTCTGGGAAGTGGGAGGGGAGGGAAGGGGGATGGAGGGGTGGGTTTGGGGGAGGGGGAATTTATATTGTAAAATTTTATAAAACTTTCAATTTTAAAAAAAAATTCTTAATATTCATCCTACGACTAAAGGGGCAGTCTCCGAATAGGGATGTTTAAAAAAAAAAAGATGAAGATAAAATAAACAAGGAAGCTCATAAGCCTTAAAAATAAAGTTTACCCATGCTCAGCATGCCTGAGTATCTTTTTGAAAATTTTAACGGCTGCCAGAGAAAATCTAGCACTGTTTCATGTGATAAAATAGTTCCTTATCTAAGGAGAAATCAAGAAAAAAGCTCTCGTGATGTCTTCTACCAGGTGTCAGTACAGGAAGAATGAATGTTTCTCGACTACACAGGTAATAGAGGCAATGCCAAACCACATGCATGTTGGTCTCATTAGGGTTTGTGCTACATGGATACTGAATGCTAGCACAAGTGTTACCTATGGACCCAATTCTGAGTATTTCACCCTCGGCTGAAGAAAGAGACAAGAGAGGAAATAAACTCAAAACGTAACACTTGCATTTAGACCAGGGGTAGTCAACCTTGGCTCTTTTATGACTCGTGGACTTCAACTCCCAGAATTCCTGAGCCAGCATAGCTGGCTCAGGAATTCTGGGAGTTGAAGTCCACGAGTCATAAAAAAACCAAGGTTGACTACCCCTGATTTAGACTTTCAAAGCACAGGAAACCATCTTCAAGCAACTGTGGCAATACTTACCTTTGAACCAGGTGGGGCAGTCAAGCCTAAAAAAGCATAGACGGCATTATTCTCTCTAGCTTCAAAGAAAGCGTCATAATCCTTTGGGATGGAGTGGGGGCGGGGAGAGAAAAGAAAAATTAGTACAGTCTATATATAGCCTTTAGGAACCAATTTGAAGTAGTTGATCTTTGGGGAAAAGGAACTCATAGAGAATGTTTCGTGAAGATCTATCATGCCTGTTTATAAATATTAATATATTTCCCATTTTTCATGGTACTCAAGGAAGCAGAGAAACCTATCCAAAACTCAACTAAGCTTCGACCAGAATCTAGGTAGTTGGCTTTTTCAAGAGATGTCCTAGAATCGTGGTGGTGAACCTATGGCACGCAGAACCCTCTCTGTGGGCACGCACACCATCGCCCCAGTCCTAGGCCTTCAGCTGGGTTTTATAAAACCTTTTCGCTTTAGGCCTCCGCCGCCATGTGCAAAAAAAAAAAAAAGGGTTCAATCAATCAATTTCAACTTCTTGCGGGGGAAAAAAGATCTCGTAAAGTTGGAATTGATTGATTGAACTTTTTAGTCCCACCCAGTCTGCCGTTACCACAGCAGCCACACCCACCCAATGGGCCACACCCACCCAATGGGCCACACCCACCCAGCACCTGACAATACATAAGTGGGTTTGGGGTTGCAGTTTGGGCACTCAGTCTCTAAAAGGTTCGCCATCACTGTCCTAGAACTTCATCTTAATATTTTTCTTTAAATAAATTCTCTCCTGTCCGTTATAGTTGACTTCACAAACTAATCCTTTAGAACAGGTTTTTGGGATATTAGTAAGAAACAAGATGGCTGTGATAGAGGATTCATCCCTTGGGAGATTCAGTTATATATATATTACTGGCTTCAAAAATCAACACAAAATCCAGCTGGTTTGGCAAGAAATCTGATCATTGTATTAACACTGGAAAAATAAATAGGCTGAGTAACTTCAGTCTCCGAGAAGTATTTCTGAGTTGGGAAATGCAGCCAATTTCAAATATATTTGACTGCTGTTCCCTACATGGCAGAATCTTTATATTACAAAATGTTCAACTTTTAAACTAGTTTTAATTCTTGCATCATATAAGAGGGCTATGAATAGGACAGGAACCTTTAGAAAAAGAAAGCACCACCTTTTTGCCGATGTGAAAATGAAAATGTCTGTAGACCCCATTAATCCAGAAATATCTGGAAATGTCCTTGGTTCTGAAGAAAAGAGTTTGTGTCTGTATTTCTACTATTAAAAATATTTTGAACGTTCTGGATTTGAAATCCACACATCTTCAAATTGCCAAAGCTGAGAAATGCTGGCTTAGCTTACAGCCCAGGGATTTCTAAGGATAGCCTGGAAGAAAAAGTCTGTTCAGCCTTTTCAGTTCAAATGAAGTAGACCAGGCATTTCTCATCTGTTGTGACCTTCCACCTCACTCCACCTCAAAAGTTGCATGCAAAGGATGTGTCCAACTGGGGTAGGGACTCTCGATTTGAGGCTTATACAATAAAGCTTCCTAGCAGATTTTCAACACAAATGAAAAAAAAAAAAACAGGCTGTTGCTTACCCCAAGGTACTGGCTGTCATTAAAGATTCGAGGGGGCAATGGATTCCCGGTGGCTGGACGACAGTCTTCTGGGACGTTCTCTCTCATCCATTTGCGGTTCTCTTCGTTGGCCGCAATGTCTTTCTCTTCAAACTCAATCTTGTTGACTTCCAAGAAGCCGATCACATCTTGCTGCTGCTTTTTAATCTAGGACAAAGATATGTGAACCAATGAATTTTTAGTTCCTTTCCTCTGTGAATGTGGAGAAGAACAATCTATCTCGCATATGCTACCGTGCATATAATGTCCTTCAACATGTACGGAGGCAGAAATCATGCTGGTGAGAGAAAATGCTGTTGATGTGGACCGATACTGGGTGAAGGTCATTTAGTTTTAAATCCTATTTATTATTCATGCTTTTTACATGAACTATATTTCTATGACCTATTTTATGCCTATTTTACTTGCTCAGGGTTGAATGTTATAGTCTACAATTTGAAGGTGCTTCTGACGCAAGTAAAGTTGCCTCTGGTTCCCTCTTGTGTCCAACCTTCAAAATCTCATCTTATTTTTTTTTTTAAAGAGAATTCAAAACAAAAACCTTTTTGTTCCCCATGGGAAGGATTCTTATAATTAATTCCAAAATCTTACTTAAAATCCATCTGGATCCTTTGTCTGTTTGCAACTTTCCAGGATCAAACATTTTGCTGTTTATTTCAAAAGAAAAAAATCCTTGAATTCTTTAAACCTGTATTTGAACCTTATTTTGCTGAGAATTGAAAGGAACTCAACCTGTATATAGGGAGAGCAACAGAAGGAACCTGGACATATATATGTCCCACCTTTCCTCCACAATCACAAGGCAGTATGGAAACACAGCCACTGTGTTTCCATTTTCCCCACAACTACAACAACTTTTGAGTTTTGAATCTCAGGGTTAACCAAAGAGTGAAAATCCCCAGTTTTGGTCCAACACCTTTCCCATTCTATCACATTGTTTACCTGATAATTAGAGAATCACACATATTTGCTTGGGTTTTCTATTATTTTTCTATTATTTTCAGAGTTTATGCATCCTTGCCAATTCAGTGTCTACGCCTGCATGCATCTGCTTAACATTGTGCTTAACATGCACAACTATCCAGTTTCTAGACAGGAAGACTTAACTGTTGCTTTTCCATTAACAATTTCCTCCTTGGAATAAAAACATTCAATTACAGTCTCCAACCTTTCGTTCCATTGCTTCAGAGACATGAATGATTATAAGGAATCTGGTTGTTAACAAGGACATTGTGGACTTCAAGCCACATACCTGATCCCTCCGGATCAGCCTTATCCCCAGGAAACCAGAATAAAAAGTGGCTGGCTAGGAGCTAATGAGAAAATCAGAACTGAAGAGGTGACATTACTTCTAATTCAAGCCAGATGCAGGACTTCTCAAGCAGCTTTTCCATATATGGGCAAGCAAAAACATTCTAGTCCTCCAGCAAACAGATGTGAGAGCAACAGACAGGCAAACTAACTCCAAATATGGTTGCTGAGCTGTCTGGTATGTAGGAAGACAAATTGAAAGAGGAAATGAGAAGAAGACATGCAAGCCAATTCTTTGGCTTTGCAATGGACAGATGCAATGGACAGATCTTGGATCCATGGGCATTTTAGCAATGTTAAGAGTCAATGGGAAAGACATGTAGACGGATGAGAATGTGGACCACTTAAACCTAGAAGCACACAGAGTCTTATGGTGTAAGAGAACTTGTAGAGTACTTGTGTGTGTATCTGTGTCTATGCCTTTGAGTCATTGTTGACTCTTGGCAATTGTCTGGACAACTCCCTGCAATCTGCTTAGCAAGGTTTGCCATTAGCTCCTTCCTAGGTTGAGAGACAAACTGCTCCAAGGTTACCGCCCTTAGGTTTTGTACCTAAGGCAGGACTAGAACTCACAGTCTCCTCTTTTTGAACCAGGGGTCTTCAAACTTGGCCCTTTAATGACTTGTGGACTTCGACTCCCAGAATTCCTCAGCCAGTATGCCTGGCTGAGGAATTCTGGGAGTCGAAGTCTACAAGTCATAAAAGGGCCAAGTTTGAAGACCCCTGGACTAGGCATACCTAGCTCCCTCAATCATTCATCATATGGTTCAGCTCCCTAATCATCTTTGTTGCTCTTCTCTGCACCCTTTCTATTTATTTATTTATTTTTATTTTATTTAATTTATATGCCGCCCTTCTCCCGACAGGGACTCAGGGCGGCGCACAACATATTTAAAACCAGAACATATATACAATCCCCCCCTTAAAACCGAATTAAACCGAATTTTAATGTTGCGTCTTCCGAATATTTAAAACCCAATGTAAAATCCACCCTAGGTCAGGTCCGCTTGCTGGA